CATAGGACTTGGTGCTAAAAATCAACTGACACGTCAAATACACAGTGCTTCAAATGCTTATCATTTTTGTGATTTGGGAAAATTAAAAATTATTTTCAAGCCACAGTTCGATGTGAAGGAAACAAATAATTTAAGATTATAAGGAAGAGAGGCAGAAACACTGGAACTATCAACAAAAGCAATCATCTAAAGAGACAAGAAAAGGTGCCAAAACCTGAACATCAGTCAGTTCATTCTTTAATGCAAATATGTTCTGTGTTCTATTTTCACATATTTGGATACTATACAAGTCACCCCCTTGTATGTTATCATCAAGCTATCTTAAATTAATGAAAGGTAACTACTGAGTCCCGGTGTGGCACTGTAGGATAAACACTTGACCACAAGGTTGGTTTTAACCACAAGGCTGGCAGCTCAAATTTACCAGCTGCTCCTCAGAAATCCTATACGGGGTCACATGAGTCGGAACTGACTCAATGGCACTTAACAACAACTACTGAAGCTAACTGCATAAGCCCTTAGTTGAATTACAGGAATACTTTCCCTTTTGCCCCAACACAATCACTCTTCTGTGACCATCATTCTAACTTTTAAATTAGATAAAAGCAATGTGCTGGGCTATAAAAGGAGAGCAAACTAGATGCTAGTGTTTCTTCTTCAGGTTAACTAAATCTACAACCACTAAAACATGGAATCAGTGAATTTTAGAGTGAAAGGAATAAGAAAATTTGGATCTAGGCAGGTAAGTGACTGTTGCTCATTCACTTGTTACAGAAATCATAACAGTTAAGACCAGAACTCATCTCCCAACTCCACTCCAGAATATTTTCTCACTACATCACATGTATGATGTACCAACTCTCCAAGAGTGAAAACAGAAAGGGCAGTAAGATAACGTCACTCTTGTTCCTCATGATTCCCTTGGCCTACTGCCCCAACACCTTTCCTGTTCTAAATTTTCCCACTGTGCTGAAGCAACTCATGAGAGGTCCTCAGCTGAAGCTTAGAAGAGTTTCACCTTCTGATCCATCTTTCCCTTGAAAGTTGGCATCCTTCCCAGGCTGTTGCGTCCTCTTTGTGCCAAGAAAAGCTGCTGCAGACAACACAGCATCTCTTTCCATGGGAGAAGGGCATTCTGATATATCCATCTTGAAATCTTTAGCCACTTTTTCAAATGGGCAAGCAGCCACTTGATTCAACACAACCATGTTCAGCATGTGTGGGAAACGGTAGCTCCAAAAAGGAGTTCTGGTAGCGTAGTGGTTACGTATCAGGCTGCGAGCCGCAAGGTCAGCAGTTCGAAACTACCAGCTGTTCCGCAGGAGAAAGATGAAGCTTTCTGCTCCCGTAAAGATTTACAGCCTTGGAAACCCTGTTCAGGGTCGTTATGAGTCAGAACTGACACTACGGCACATTACAACAAGGAAGGAAAAAATTTCTCAGGATAACCATATTTATAAATAAGACAAACACAAATACAAACCACCAGAAGTATCTAAATCACAAATGTTTCAATATGGAACTGACTTCAAAGTTGAAAACCAAGGGTGAAATTGAAAAGGACTAAGAGAGTGTAGAGAAGGTAGAGAAAAGTATGGAACCAAAAGTATGGCTGTTCAGAGAATAAAATTCCAAGTTTCTTCATCTTATTTTTTCTGATCTACATTTCTTTAACACTGTACACCTACTGCCAGTGTTCCCCCTTTGCCTGCATCAGCATGAAGGACTAACTGACTTTGATACTATAGGAACTGAGGTTCAGGAGACACTCAAACCATATCATTTATAACCCTTTCTTGTGGCTGTTAGCAAAGTCTTGCATCATAGACTCCATTCTCTTGGAGATCACAAAGAAAACCACATAATCTGGCCTTTTCTATGCTTTTCTTCAGTTAAATATTTTCAAGATGTTCAAAAGAAATAAAGCCTTAGTCCTTTTAAGGAATAAGGTTATATTATTCAATGGGTGACTAAATTAGGAACAGCTGGGAACAGACAAAATGACTGTGCATCTACTTTAAAAGGCACTTTAACAGCACTTCCATAAATAATTTAACCCAATCCTCTCATTGGACAGATAAAGAAACCAAGACCTACAGAGGGCACCTGACTAGACCAAGGTCATAAGTCCAGTTGGTAGCAGATGTTAAGACTAGACCTTGATTCTCCTACATCAAGATTAGCAGCTGATTTGACATAAGGAGGAGGAGAGAGGAAAGCCTGAGGCTGGGAGATAGCAAGGATGTTAGATTTTTCTGGCCCAATGGCAGACAGATGAGTACGAGGGTACCTAATGCCTGTATTCTATACAGCATCTCAGTATAAAAGGAAAAGACTGTCATAAAAGAAAAAAAGAGTGGGGGGAAAAGAAAGCTATTTGAGCTAGTGACTAGGTAATAAAAGTTTCTATTCCTTTTTTTTTTTTTTCCATCACTTTAACGAGGGTATCTACAAGTTTCAAAGGAGCCCTGGTAGGGTAGTGGATAACGAGCTGGACTACTAAAGTCAAGGTCAGCAATTCAAATCTACCGGTTGCTCTGTGGGAGAAAGATGAGGCTTTCAGCTCGTTGTAAGTATTTACAGCCTTGGAAATCCTATACAGCATTGCTTCCACTGAGTCGGAACCAACTCAGTGGCACAAAACCACCAACCACCTTCTATTATCACAAAAGTGTTTTTTACAGTTTTGCTTTTGAAAACTTAAATCAGAAACACTACAGATTTCTGGACTCTGCTTAGAGTGATTGAATCAAATTGCTCAGGCTTGTAAAGCTAATGTTCTCCCTTATTGTTGTTGTTAAATACTGTGGAGTCGGTTCCAACTCATAGCGACCCTGCACAGGGTTTCCAAGGCTGTAAATCTTTATGGGAGCAGAACGCCTCATCTTTCTCCCATGGAACCCCTGGTAGTTTCGAACTGCCGACCTTCAGGCTAGCAGCCCGATTCGTAACCACTACGCTACCAGAGCTCCTTAAACTATCACGTAATTCACAATAAAAACTTAAATAAATAAAATCTGACTTAAACAATTAGAAAAAAAATTGCTTAGGCATGTGAATTTTAATCAAGCTTCCCATGAAAACTCACATTTAAGAAGCAGTACCATCAGTAATTGGACTTCTGGTGTTGCACTGTGGATTAGCACTGGACTGCAAGGTCAGTAGTTCAAACCCACCAGATGCTCCTCAGAAGCTGTATACAGGGTTGCTATGAGTCAGGACTCAACTCGATGGCACTTAACAACAACAACAACCATCAGTAATCATGCAACCAGAGAACTATACAAATCCTATTCTGCTCGTAGTCCTCCCACCCATTTCAGAGGTATGGATATTGATACCAGACAGTCTCTTCCCACCATGGCATAGAGAACACACGGACTTACTTAGACTATTAAATAGTCCATCATTAAGATTCTACAGTTTGTGACTGAAAATGAAATAATTTCTGTTAAAACCAGAAAAAAAAATTAACTTATTGTAAGAAAGTGAAGCAGAATGTAATATTGATTTACTACACTAAGTCACAGTCCTGCTTCTCTTAATAAGGCAATGGCCAGAGCACCCCAGTTCAATCAGGCCTCCTCTACTATGTGGCAGCTCCTCATAGTGAAGTTTCAATGCCGTGGAAGGCCTAGACACTGCTTAACTTTCCCTGGATAGAAACGCCTGAGGCAGATATAGTCAGGCAAGAGCCGCACATGTGGTAGGGAATCTGATCAGCGTAAGCAGACTTGTGAAAGATGTTATGGATCAGCAACATGGGTTGGCTGAACGTTTGGTTAATCTAGAGGCTCTCTAGAGCTTGCCCTCCACATTATCTTTGTTGTTGTTGTTGTGTGCCATCGAGTCAGTTCCGACCCATAGCAACTTTGTATCGGGTTTCCAAGGAGCAGCTGGTGAGCTTGAACCACCAAGCTTGTGGTTCAAATGACTTTGCAGTCCAGCGCACTAGCCCACAGCACCACATCAGGACTCCTTTTCAGAGCATGACAAAACAATAAGGTCCATGGTGAAAGAAAGCAGAGGAAGGAAGCATTCAGAGTACAGAATTGTGTATTTCCTCAAACCACAAAACACCCTGTAAAGCAAAAACGAATGAAGAAGGGAACATCTTTCCCACACCCAAATTGCTGATACAATTTTCAGAAATCAATTTTGTGGAGAAGGGTTGAAAATCGCTGTTTTGAGGAAAGCTCATCACCACCACCACTACCATTGAAAGAGACAGGAACCCTGGTAATGTAGTGGATTATGAGCTGGGATGTTAACCACAAGGTCAGTAGTTTGAATCTACCAGTTGCTCCATGGGAGAAAGGAGGTTTTCTGCTCCTGAAAGATTTACAGTCTTGGGATCCCTATACAGGAACTGACTCAATGGCACATAACAACAACTACCACCATTGGAAGAGCAGAAATCACTATATTTGAGACAGGATTTCCTACATAGGATGACCAGAACTCAACTGATGATCTCTGACCCTGGTGAACAAAGGTATCAGCAGGAAAGAAGGGAGGAGGGCATTCCTGGGAACCTGAGGATGCCAATACTATTTCCTTCTTAATTATCTGGGATGTATACATGGAGTATTACAGAGTTGAGCTGAAATTCTAGCAGTGTCCCTACCCAACTGAGTGCAGTTGTACCTGCCTCCTACTTAGATCTGCAGTAGCCCCTAGGCATCTGGAATGGCTCACAAACTTCCCCTCTCCCCATTCGCTCTCACTGAATGACAAGATCTTTTTATATAAGGTATCTGAGGCCCAAAGACAGTCTACTGGGAATACTGTCTATCGTCAGGTCAAAAGACGAAAAAGAACAAAGGGTACAATACTGCCAGTAACTTAGGTCTAGCATCTCCAATGATGCAAGTTTTATATTAAAATACTTGTATGCGTGTACATGTATATATAAACATACATAACATAGACTGCTTACTCTAAAATGTCAATACTACTTATTTTATATTTCTTCACATTCTTCCGTATTTTCTGATTTTTCAATCATAAACATAATCACTAGAGGCAGATATAGTCAGGGAAGAGCCGTACATGTGGTAGGGAATCTGATCAGGTTATAGGCAGGAGAGAATGTTACTTTAAAAATAACAGTAGCTATAATTTATCCAAAGATGAAACCTGGCTTGTAATAGAAAGGTAAAGCCATTTATATGGTGAAATGTCCAAAAGCAGATAGAAAAGAATGGTGTAGAGACAGAAACTTCTCTTTCTCATGTCTGCAAATCCCTGGTGCTACTCATCTTCAAAGTTCTCAATCCCCTGCCCACCTAGAAGCCTTTATAGATTATATATGTGCTGTTATTGTTAAGTGCCATTGAGTTAGTTTTGATTCATAGAGAACATCATTCCAGAAAACATTCTTCTTTATAATCAAGTTTATGTTGGAAATAACATTTAATATTTCCATTATCTAGCATGGTGCTGTAGGATAAATACTGGACTGTTAACCATTAGGTCGATGACGCAAACCCACCAGTCACTTCTCAGAAACCCTTACAGGGTCACAATGAGTTGGGACAGACTTGATAGCACGTAACAACAACAGAAGGGCCACACTACACTTAAGTACATGAAAAGTCCCGGGCCCTGAGAAGTCCTGAAGTCATAAACATTTGTCTGTTGGTGGTGTGTAGTTGAACCAGTTCCAACTCCTAGGCTGTAAATATGTGCTGGAAGACATTCCACCACTTCAGAATGTAGCATATGCTCAAGAACCTATGATATTGAAGGAAGACGTTCAAGATGCACTGAAGGCATTGGAGAAAAACAAGGCTCCAGGAATCAATGGAATATCCATTGAAATGTTTCAACAAACTGAGGCAGTGCTGAAGCTAGGCAATCACATCTGTGCCAAGAAATTTGGAAGATAGCTACCTGGCCAACCACTTGGAAGTAATCTATATTTGTACCCATTTCCAAAGACTGATGATACAACAGATGTGAAAATGATAAATGTTATTAATATCAGGTACAAGTAGAATTTTCATGAAGATAATTTTAAAATGGTTTCAGTGGTACATTGGCAGAGAACTGTCAAAAATTTGAGCCGGATTCAGAAAAGGATATAGAATGAGGGATAGCACTGCTGATACCAGTGGATCTTGGCTGAAAGCAGGGAATACCAGAAAGATGTTTACCTGTATTTCATTGACTATGCAATGGCAATCAACACTGTGGATCACAACAAATTATGGATAACACTGCACAGATCAGGAATTGGGAATTTCAGAATACTTCATTGTGTTCTTGCAAAACCTGTATATAGTCCAAGAGGCAGTTTTAACAGAACAATGGGGCACTGTATAGTTTAAAATCAGGAATGGTGTGTGTCTGATTTGTCTCCTTTCACTGTACTTATTCAATCTGTATGCTGAACAAATAATCCGAGAAACTGGATTACATGAAGAAGAACCCAGCATCAGGATTGGAGGAAGAGTCCAAATGATTGTTAATTGTTCCTGTGGTACCTTTGTGGCCAAGGTTACAACCTATGATATGCAAAGAGGATTTGAAACACTTACCGATGAAGACCAAAGACTACAGCCTTTAGTACAGACTATACCTCAACATAAAACAAACAAAACTCCTCACAACTGGATCAATAAGCAACATCCCAGTAAACAGAGAAAAGATTGAAGTTGTCAAAGATTTCGTTTTACTGGGATCACTACCCATGAAAGCATCAGTCAGGGAATCAAATGATGTATTGCATTGCATCTCTTGAAAGTGTTAAAAAACAAAGCTGTCACTTTAAAGACTGAGTGACTCTGACCCATGCCAGGGTATTTTCAATCATCTCATATGCATGTGATAGCTGGACAAGAAATAAGGAAGACAGAAGAAGAAGTGACGCCTTTAAATTATGGTTTTGGCAAAGAATTTAATATTAAAAATATTAAATATATCATAGATTGTTATGAGAAAGAACAAATCTGTTATGGAAGAAGCACAATCAGAATGTGCCTTAGATGGTAACGCTTCATTTCATGAACACATAAACAGGAGGGACTAGTGATTGAAGAAGAACATCATGCTTCTGAAAGAGAGGAAGACCCTTAAGGACATGGACAGACTGCAACAAAGGGCTCACCCATAACAACTGTGAGAATGGTGCAAGACTGGGCAGTTGTCTGTGGTACAAAAGGTCACTATGAGTCCAAACCAACTCAATGGCACCTAGTGACAACATTAGGATTCGTATTGTTATTATTTCCCCACCTCTCTTTATAACCCACTTATATTCCACAGTATCTATATTTCATGAACATAAAAGTGATGGTAAAGAAACAACAAAACAAAACCAAAAAAGCCTCAAACTGAAGAGAAGTCAGTATCCTACATAGCACAATCCATAAATTAAGAGACAGGAATTAGGGTTTTAGTCTCCAGTGTTACTGTACCTCCCTTTCTCTGTTCCCTTAAGTGTGAAAAGATTACTAACTAGTTAGTTCTTCCATCTCCAAGAATTGCTAAGAAAAATGCACAGTAACATTAAAACCAGCAGCCCGTGCTAATCCTAGCCCAACATGTGGGTCCTTAAGGGTCTACTTTCCAGACACCTCATTCAGATTTAAACCTAAAATTACAAGACTGTAGGCTTGGAGCTTGCTGTTGACGAGAAAGATATGGAAATAGTCTTTTGCCATCTCACTCTGGAGTTCTGAAGAATTCAGTGTGTAATTCAACTGGTAGCATTAATGGCAGTAGCAGACTGCATACTGTCCCATTCAAGAGGACCCATTTGCATATCCAAACCCCTCTGCCTCGGCATCTGTAACCACAGCATGAACATCATTTCTGTTTGCCCTGTTTTGGGCTCCAGTGCCCATTTCTATGTATTGCTTACTCTGCTTGTCTTGCTAGCTCTTTCCAATACTTGAACTCTTCTTTGAGTTTTTCTCATTTATACAAAGCCCTGGGCTGCAATTTCAGTGTGGATGACTGGCTGTGTTCAACCTTACTAATGCACCTCAAATCTGGATCTTAATGATGCAGTTCAGCCCTGCCCCAGCAGCAAAAGGCAGCTCGTTCTGCTCCTGAGTATGTATTGCCCATGGCTCTGCATGCTTTCAGGTTGGACTTTTGAACTTCCAGAATGCCCCAGGGCCATTGTCAATCTGCATTTTCTTTGTCCATCTGCCCAGCTAGCCATTGTCTATCCACCCAATAATGATTAATTATTTCCTACATTCAGGAGCTCTTCCAAATTGTTGATACAACAGTGAACAAAAACAGATATTCCTGTATTCTCATTCAACATACATTTTAGTAGAGGAAAAAAGACAAAGAAATAAGTTAGCATGATCCCTTCAAATAGTGATAAGTGCTGTGAAGAAAATAAAATAATGTGAGGTCACAGAATAATAATAATGGGGAAGAAGGACTCAGGAGGGTCAGGTGAGGTCTCTCAAGGGAGGGAGTGAAAACCTGAGGTGAGAGATGATTCTTTAAAGTTCAGAAGTAGCCAGTCAGGCAAAGACTTGGTCCACAGTACTCTCTTGGTAGCAGAGAACCACCAGTACACAGACCCTACAGCAAGAATGGCTGGAGCAGTGAGAGTGAGGTCTGAAAGGGGGTTAGAGCTAGATGTTGGCGGGTCTTGTAGGCTGGATAGGGAGTTTGGATTTTCTTCTCATTGCAATAAAAAGACTTGAAGGATCTTAAGCAGTGAGTGAAATGATGATAAATCCAACTCTTTGCTTGGGGCTGCAACAATAGCAACATGAGGACTTCAGTGATTATCAACCAAATTCTACATTCTGTTTGCTTACGATTACACTGGCGATATGAAGTGACTGTAACGGAATGGAAGCTAAATTTATTTTAAAGACAACAAAAAGCCACCAAAATATACTCTTATCTGGCCAGAAAGAAATGTTGCATATAATTTAAGACATTATAAATTCACATGTGTTAATTGCTCTGATTAATAGGATAAGCAGGAGTTTGGCAGTGATGACGGCTCACGTAGGAGTATCATTTGACTCCCAGAAACCTAAAATTGTCAATTTTACGGAAAAAATCATTGCTCACAGTGACTCTGGCCTAGAATGTAAGAGAATTGGAAATGTAAAGATAGTATCTTTAACAAGCATCATTCTATTTTATAGCTCAATACAATATAGCTCTTAAAAAGATGCTTCAAATTGAGTTTCCAATTTAAAAAATAATTGCCAAGTAAGTGCAAAATTAGCAGCTCCATTCCTTGCCATTGTCATAAATGATTAAGTAGGTGTTAAAAAGCTGAAAAGGCAAAGTATCTCTTTCTAACCCTCATAGGCAGCTTCCCTCTTCACTGATCCTTTATCTTGGAGGGAAGACCACCATGGAAATCTGATTCCTGGCATATTCCTGATAAGAATACTTTTTTTTTTCAAATATACTAACCCTGCGACACATAGCAACCCTAAGAACAGAGTAGAACTTTCCATACGGATTGCTGTACAAAAGCAGACAACCATATCTCATTCCCATGGAGCAGCTGGTGGTTCCAGCCACTCATCTTTTGTTTAGCAGCTGAGCATGTAAACACTGAGCCACTATGGCTCCTTTTCCAGGGGTACCAAACCCAAATCCAACCCACTACTGCTGAGTTGCTTCACACATACAGCGACCCTATAGGGCAGAGTAGAACTGTTCCTTAGGGTTTCTGAGACAGTAAATCCTCACAAGAGCAGAGAGCCTTATCTTTCTCCCGTGGGGAAATGGTGGGTTTAAACCAACAACCTAGTTAGCAGCCCAACTTTTAACCTTTTGTACCAACCAGGGCTTCTTTCCAGGGATATGTTGTTAAGTGTCGTTGAGTCAATTCCGACCCATAGCGACCCTGATTAGGGTTTCCAAGGAGCAGCTGATGAGCTTGAACCGACGATCTTGCAGTTCAAACAGCTTTGCAGTCTGGCGCATTAACCCACAGTGCCACACCAGGACTCCTTCCAGGGATATAGTAGGGTCAAAATCTCTTTGCCTTACATTGTTCATGAGCTTCTGCAAGTCTCTCTGTACTTTTGAAACTGGTAAAGACTGTGTGCTACTGATAACTACATTCAGTCAATGAACTGAAATCGGAAGAAGTACAATTATCCATTGAGAGGGACAGTTCAGCAATTAACATCCAAACAGCTAGGCGCTAAGTGCTCCTCAGATCAAAGATGCTAACTAAGAGAGAAGTTACCACTACCAGGAACAAGTGTTTACAGGAGACTGAGTTGTCATCTTTAAAGGGAGCAAGTCCTCTCAAATCCCCACATTTTATTTAATTACTCATTTACCTTTAATTCCTTTAAGATTTGTGTTGAGGCTAGCATATAAGACAATTGCTCTCAATTTCTATCACAGATTGTTTGACCTTCTTCAATAGGCTGTAAAATGCCTGGGGTCAAGGTTCTCTCTCTCCTTGTCTCCTAATCCCCCACCCCATCCATGGTATATACATACATAAAAAATCAAATCTGAAAAGGAAGCGATGCAATAAAAATATAACTGTCTTCCAGCCATGATACCCAAAGATAACAACTGTTAGTTTCTTATGACTTCCCCATAAAAACCGTGGGTATGGACAAACTTTTAACCTATTCAGTGTTTAATCCACTGAACAAAACTTAGAAGAATTATAAATTTATATAGAACTTCAAAGCTTTTCTTATTCAAGCAGTATAAAAAAATAATTTGCAAAATAAGGGGTATGTGTAGACAATCTAAGATGGACACAAGCTGCCTCTTCCTACCACTTACAACTCCCTCTATTTACCATGGTAGCAAACCCACAGTTGGGGAGCAGATAGATTTACCCTGACATGTGCCAACCAGCTGTTGTCTCTAATCTTTACGGTATTCCATGGTCAGCTCATTCCATTTCATTGGATCTCAACTTCCTTTCTTACTGAGACTGTATCCTATAAGTTCCTTTGGTCTCTCTGAGAGCCCAGAGTAGATGCTGATAAACAAGTAACAACAAATATAAACAGGTATGCCAAGGACTCAGAAGTAGAAGGAAAACCACAGACAAAATCACAGATTATCAGTCTATGGATACAAATTAGATCATAGAATTGATTTTTTATGAGATACAATTCACAAGAAAATCCATACGTTTTGTTTGTTAGACCACATAACAGAGCTACACCAAGAACAGATACTGATCCTAAAGCTATCTTATGCTTATCAGTAACCTTTCAGAAGTAGAACCAAACCCACATTTACTTGCTTCCTTGGGAACACATGTGATGTGGCATTAGAGAGCTCATAAACATTTTTCTATTGTCAAGAGTCGCAGAGTTTCTCAACAGCATTCAGTAACCATAGAGTCACAATTTAGGGGATGAGTTAATCTCTTTATTACAATTTGCCACCTCAGCTGACTACCAGGGAGGGTGTCTTCTTGCTAGCCATTGCTGGTCAGTCCACATTTGCAGTGCAGAGTTCTATTCTAACCAGGTACTTATAAGAAACACAGATAAGTACCCAGGGGAGTGATGAGAGAAGGAGAGAGGGGTTACAGAGATAAGGAAATGGGGCTGAAAGCAATATTAAACATCCATTTGGTAATTTGGCCTCAAGATAACACTCAGAAAGCCACTGATAATCATTAAAAACCCTTGTTTTAAGTGATCTGCTTTTAGGCCAAAGCTTGAAGGAAGGAAGTAGTATCTGCATAGGTCTTCACCAGACATTCTTGCCTTTTCTCTCAGAGACGGGAACTTTTTAAGAACAAACCCTCTAGAACTTTTACTAGATAGATGACTCTCTAAATAATGTTGGGCCTCAGTTTGTTCATTTATTTAGAAGGCAATACACACTCCATGCTTATTACTATTACCATCTGAATTATGGGGGTCCATGATCTATCTTCTTTGGAAGACAAGATGCTTGAGAAAAAAATTACAACAAATAAGACCAAAAAACCCCACCCTGGTAAAGGTGCAGTTCCTTACCTGAAAGGCATTCATACAGCGAAGAGATGGTGGCAGCATGGCGGTATTCCTCGACAGTATCAACAACAGCTCCAAGCAGGTTGTGGCAGGCAGAGTTAGAGAGTGGACACTGATGTCACTTTCCCATGAACTGGCAAGCCTGAAACAAAATGAAATGTTCATTTTCATAATTATACTTTTGCTGTTGATAAATGCCGTCGAATCAGTTTCAACTCACAGCAACTCTGTATATAGTTTTTGAGGAACAGCTGGTTGTTTGAACTACCAACCTTTTGGTTAGCAGTCCAGTGCTTATCCTACAGCACCACACCAGGAGCCCAGTCATACCCTGGTCATAATTATTTCAAAATCTGATCAGAGAAGGAGAAAACTTTTAGTTGTTGGAGGAAAAAGCAATGTAGGAAAAAATGATTATGTTAAAAATTCAGAGTGAATACCTGAGACATTTTTTACAGTGGTGTTGGTATTAAGCAATTTTTTTTCAGGTCATCATTTCAGACTCAAAGTATAAGAGTTGCATGCAATCCAGTTTTATTTGTGTTGGACCTGTGTGTGTGTATGTGTGTGTGTAAAAGGAGGGTGGAAAGAGGGTGACTAACAGTTAACATGTTGAATATTCCCTATGTGTTATGCAGTGCTCTAAATGTAATATCCTGATCAACTTTTGTTGTTGTTAAGTGCCATCGAATTGATTCTGACTCAAAGCTACCCTGAATAGGGTTTCTGAGGAGTGAATGGTGAGCTGGAACCCCTGACCTTGTGGTTCAAACTGACCTTGTGTCTAGTGCATTATCCCACAGCTCCATTAGTGACCTATGAAAAGGACCTACTGTTATCTTCATTTTACAATGTGGAAACTGTTTCTGAGCTGGATATGCCTTATTGGATACCCATATTTTCAAACTTTTAAAAGATGTCAGAATCCTTTAGTCAAACAAAACCTTATAAAGGTCCCAATTTATAATACAAATAAAAGCAAAGCTGCTTTGTTTGAAAGGGAAGGGATGCAGGAGGCCTTCCTTCATCTTCCAGAGTGGCCCTTGAAGCATCTCTGCTACATCCTGTGGAACCTATTTGAAAGTCTTCTCATTCAAAAGATCAGAACACTGGATGAGAAAAGTAAGGAGACTTCTCTAAGATGAGAAAATTATAAAGCTGGGTCTAGAATCCTGTAATTAATTCTCCATCTAGTATTTCTAATTCTCCATCTAGTATTTAAAGCAAAGGGAAAAAATCAGGAAATAATTGTGAAAAAACAAAAACAAAAAACAACAATATAAGAATAGCATTTGTCTGATGCTATCAACTATTCTATTATTAAGGACTTCCTACCTGTTGCCCTGTCAAAGTGTCTCTTACTACTTATCCTAATTTTTAAAGAGAAATACACATTTTTCACTATTTCTATAAATTTCTCCTTCCAAAGCTACCTTTAACCACTACCAGAAGCTTATAGAACATCAGCATAAGGCATAATGGATTATAATATCCTACAGGGTCTCTACAAGTCACAACTGACTGGGAAGTACCTAAAGTCACACTGAGTCAAGTGACACTGAGTCAGTTAAGTGACACTGAGTCAGTTCCAACTTATAGCAACCCTGTATATATATGGAGTCTGGTGTGGCACCATAGGATAATCACTGGGGGGTTAACCACAAGGTCAGCAGTTCAAACCCACCAGCTACACTTTGAACACCCTATACAAGGTAGCTATGAGTCATAACCATTTTTCACAAGTACAGAATACTTGTGTGTGTGTATGTGCTCATGTATGTGTTCATGCAGAACCCATACATAAGCAGAACGAAAGAAGACTGTGCAGTTTGAATCAGGAAAGTTGTGTGACAGAGTTGTATCCTTTCACTATTCATTCTTCCTGAACAAGCAAATAATCCTAGAAACGGGGCTATGTGAAGAAGAATGACAAATGCTTTAGCTGTATCATCAATCAGGTTACTTATTATGCTGATACATTTCTGTGTGTTGTGGGTCATTCATTATTGAGGTATTTGCCTGCCAGTCGGACTAGACTAGGATACTGCTCACTTTTTTGAAAATTGGTTCAGTGCTTATCCTACCAGCTGGGCCTACCAAGGATCAATTTCCTAATAGTCACCCACCCTTTCTATTCCCCACTTTATTTTTCATTAATCTCAGGATTTTTTTTTTTAATTTAAAGTTTTATTTTCTCTGTAAATTTACTCACAAAAAATTATTTTAACCAAATGAAGCATTCACACAAGCGAACAAACATTGAAAGTAATATATGTTGTTGTTGTTGTTATGTGCCTTCGAGTCGGTTCCGACCCATAGCGACCCTGTACAGGGTTTCCGAGGCTGTATGTAAATCTTTACGGAGGCAGAAAGCCTCATCTTTCTCCTGCAGAATGGCTGGTAGTTTTGAACTGCTGGCCTTAGGGTTCACAGCCCAATTCATAACCACTACGCTATATAGAAAATGAAAAATAACTGCTTGGAAAAGTTAGGATTCTCCCCTAAAACTTAATTTAATGGTTTCACATCACTTCCCCCATGCCCAATTTAGGAAGAAAGAAAGAAAGGAGAGCAGCAGAGAGGAAAGAGAAAAATGTATCTTAAAACAATCTCCAAACCCATTTTGTGGAAATTAGGGAATGCATTAACTAAGGAGACAGAGGTGGCACTTGTAATTATCTAACTGTGGCTCAAATATCAATACAATTTTGTGTCAATTATACAAACATTTGAAGAATCATAAGGAATCTGGATTGTCTCTTGAATTTCTTACAAAAATATCAACTATCAGAGTGAAATCAGTAATTTTTCACTATAACCCAACATAAAAAATACTCAGTGGAAATTAAAGAACATAAATTGAAACCTACTTCTGTGATTTTTAAAGGCCTGAGATAAGAAAAGCTTCCGGAGGAGATCAGCACTCTCAACAAGGTAACCTTAGTCTAAGAGACCAAAATGTAAGCAGAGGGTACACCATCCTTGCTTCTAAACTTTTGCCTCAACAAATTCCCAAGAGAAGCAACTATGGACTATTTATTTTTAAAGACACAGCAAGAAGGGGGAGAAAAGACACTTTCTATCACTCCTAACAAAAATGGTGAAATTGAGAATGAATGAAACACCAATCAGTATCAAGAAAAGAGGTGCAATCTAAAGGCAAAGGAGAAAAGAGAATGATGATACAGTTTGTTTAGAAATACTGGGGACTTGCAATGCAACAGAGTCTAAAATGACAAGAGATAACATAACAACTCTACTGCCAATTAAAATGTTTCAAAGAAATATAACACATTGTTTAGAAAAGAAAAACAGATGGGGTATAGGTAAACTCAAGATGCAAATAATTTATTTAAATCTTATGTTTCTCATTTAGTAGTTGCTCTGAACGCTTCAACAATACAAGAACCTAGGAAAGCAAATATCCTACTGCTGTTGTTTTACTGCTGTGGAATCGGTTCCAACTCATAGTGACTCTATATAGGGTTTCTAAGGAGCAGTGGGTAGATTTGAACCACTGACCTGGTAGGTCAAACCTACTTTGTGGACCAGTGCTTATCCTATAGTGCCACACCAGGTATAAATGACATAATATTTCAACAAATACCCTACTAGTAATGCTGACCTGTAGGATAAGCACTGAATCACCAGGTCAATTTGAAACATGATGTGCAAATCTACCAGCCACTCCTCGAAAACCCTATACAGGTTGCTATGAGTCAGAACTGACTCAACGGCACCTAACAACAGCAACATGTTGAAATATTGTGCTTGTTTCTACCTTTAAAGTTTAAAAATTCAATTTCAAGACTTTTAGATTGACAAGTCCATCATTTTAAGCTTCCAAAATACTAAAACAGGCAAATGACGACAATTTAGCACTAAAATCATTATAAATAAACTGTATAGCTACATTGTTGTTGTTATGTGCCGTGGAGTCGGTTCCAATTCATAGTGACCCTGTACAGGGTTTCCGAGGCTGTAAATCTTTACGGGAGCAGAAAGCCTAATCTTTCTCCTGCGGAGCAGCTGGTAGTTTCGAAGTGCTGACCTTGTGGTTCACAGCCTTACCCACTACGCTACCAGAGCTCCCTAGTATGCTGATATTCTGATCCTTGGTGGAGTAGTGGGTTACCACATGGTCAGCAGTTCAATGAGACATAAGACAGATGAGGCTTTCTGCTCCTATAGAGATGCTGTTGTTGTTGTTAAGTGCCGTTGAGTCAGTTCTGACCTATAGCGACCCTGTATAGGGTTTCTGAGGAGCTGCTTGAGATTCAAACTGACTTTGCAGTCCAACGCATTAACCCACAGCACCAGCCTCAGAAAGCCTATACAGGGTAAATAATCCTAGAAACTGGACTAATCATGGATCTACAATCAATGCCCATGGAAACAGAAGTCAAGAAATCAAACAAGCACTCAAACCTACCACAAAAGATCTCTTTAAAATGTGAAAAAGCAAAGATGTCACGTTGAAGATTAAGGTGTGCCTGATCCAAGCCATGGTATTTTTCAACAGCTTTAGATGCATATGAAAGCTGGATAATGAATAAGGAAGACAGTAAAAGGACTGATGCACTTGAATTATGTTGTTAGTAAAAAATAGTAAGTCTGCTATAGCCTGCCAGAAGAACAAACAAATCTGTCATACAACAAGTACAGTCAGAATATTTCTCAGAAGCAAGGATGGTGACTTCCACTCACATACTTTGGACATGTTATCAGGAGGGTCAGTGAAAAAAAAAGGAAGACCTTCAGCAAGGTGAACTGAAACAGTTCCTGCAACATTGGACTCAAGCATAGCAACAACTGCAAAGATGGTAGAGGACTAGGCTTTAGGGTAGATGTGAGAAGGTTTCCCAAAGAAATTCTCCTAGGACAGTATTTGCTATCCTCAAATAATGAGCAGGTGCATCGTCATGAAGGGAAAAAAATAAAAAGATTTGGCACACATTTCCCGGCCTTTTCTTCATCAAAACATTTTCTCCTCCCCCCCCCCCCCCCAATTTTCTGAAAACTTCTCCATAAATAAGCCACCAGGATCATCCTTTGTCCTTTGAGAAACTCTTATCAAGGTTACCACTGTTTTGACTGGACCTTATTTTGAAGGTATATCATAATGAGGCTAAGAAAGGTGTG